CACACAGTCTTCCAAATGATTAAAAGAAAAATGACAGCAAGTGATATAAACAGGGAAGCAGCAGCCATTGAGGGCATCGGAGCAAGTCTTCTCTTTCTCTCCAGGCAGGAGATAAATCCAGCGCAACAAATTAGCACCATAAACACTGCACACATTTGCAGTGATTTATATGTGTATTTTATCTAAGCCAGGCATTTTCTGATTTCTAAGGAGGGAAAAGGATAGCAAAAGGATCCCCATCCATCCCAGCCACTGCCGTTGCATCGGGAACTTGCTGCTCACCATTGCATTAACACCAAGCAGCACTCCTGGGGGTTTTATCTGTAGATCACTAAATGCTTATGCAAAGGTAAATATATTCTAGTCTTATCCTACGGCAAATTTGTCTCATTCAATCTGATATTTCAGTGCTTCTGCAGCACCTGTATAGCAGAATTGCAATGTAGAGCAGTTGCTATATTAGAAAGTTGTAAAACCCGGAGATGTTGGCTTATGGTTTCTTTTTTCATCCTCTAGTGAACTTCACATCACCTTTCATACTTTATCATTGTGCTGCATAATCTCTATCTCTGCAGAATTGCTGGGTTCACTACAGTGCCTAATACAAAACATGAAATATTGCACTACGCACCCATGCAAAAGGCCAATTTTCATTAATCAAATATTCAGAAGAGTCAGTGCTCTGTAAAATAATGAGAGCTTAGAAACCAGAGCGCAAGCAAAACCACATAAGATGGAGCTTCACTGCTTGACATGCTGACAAAGTTCCCACCAGAAAAATCTCAGACCTTCCCTTCTACACCCCTGATGTCCCCTTCCCAAAGAAATCATTGCCCGAAGTGAAGGATCTATCTGAATTCCAAATTTTAATTCTGTCTCACACAGGACTGCAGAAAAGCGGACGCTGAAAAATTATCTGACTGGGAGCTTAGCAATAGAAAACCATAAATCATCTTGGCAGTTATGCAGTTTTCTTGTGAGGTGGTGGCATGGGAGTAGCTGTTAACTAACAGATGTGTGCCTACGGCCCTCGCCTTTCAGACTCACCTCAGGAGGTGCAATGACTGTCCATTCAAACTGTGCCCCTGTGCCTTTTCCCAAGGGACAGAAGCAGACTGGAAGGCTGTTGCCCTTGGAGTTTATTTTGGGGCCTAATAAAGGATTTAGGCATTGGATGGAATCATCATGGTTGGAAAAGACCGCTAAGTTCACCAAGCCCAACCGCTGACCCACCACCACCAGCACCCATCAACCTCAGTGCCAGAGCCACCCTTCTCTTGGAAACCTCCAGGGATGATGACCCCAATACCTCCCTGGGCAGCAGTTACAGAAAAATTAAAAAAATAAAAAAGCCAGCACCGAGAGATTATTTATTCTTAATTAAATCTGCAGTGAGCACAATGACAGGGAAAAAAAAAAAATAAGAAATTAATTCATTATCTGGATAGCAAATGAAACAAATGGATGTTTGGGGAATTTTTGACAGCAAGGCAAGTTAAAAGAAAAAACTGTATAAAATGACACGAAGCAGGAAATTGGACCATTTTTCCAGAGTCTGCTAGGCACCATTAGGCAGAACAATTAGTAAATCTTTCAACAGATAAAAATGGAAGAGTTCATGTAACTTGTGGACACACTACCGGATTCTACTTCAAAAAGACTCATGTGCATTAATTGAGTCTCACATAGGATTCTGCTGAACACGTCTGCCATACTTCCTGCTGGAATAATCTGATGGAGTTCAATGGAACTGAGATAATTTTTTCTAGCTCATCTGTAACTGTTAAAGACAGTATTTGTTTATGAAAAGATCCCTTGTGCTAAAAGATGAACTCATTTCAAACGTTCAAATGATTTTAAGTCTCCTCCAGTCATAAATCAGCAAGAGGCAGCGGAAGAGTTTTCCACGCGGCCATCAAAGTCTGATTTAAAACACAGAACGAAGAGATCTAACTCTCAATTTAAGGAGATACTTCCCAAAATATTTATTTTCTCGGGAAATCAATAGCTACAAATCCACAATTCCAAGTGGGTAAAACTACAGAAGAAAACACAGCTTGCTTTAGAGCCACTAAAATGCTTGAGTTGTGAAGCTTAGATTTAACCCAAAAGAAACATTCAACCCAAGCTGAGATATTTAGGTATCGATCTACCTCCCAACCACCATCACATAAAAAGTCGCTGTGTTTGTCAAGTTAACCAGCTTGCTAATTACCTGCCATAAAAAAAAGGAGCTGAACACACGTAGGTGTGGAAGTGCTTCAAGAGGGAGCTGGGAAAAAGTTATTTGAACATTTTGCGTATTAATACTGCTCTTAATGTTCTGACTGCTCTTACATTTAATTGCAATGGTTTCAACCACATCAGAATAATCAATCATCACTTTATAATGTAATTAACTCCTGCAGGAAACTGTTCATGAAGGGAATTAAGAAATTTACTGTCTGAAGTTAAATTTGGGATTACTTATAGAACTGTTCCAGCACTGGCACACTGCTTTCTGGCTCTGCAGGCACTGCTCAGGCCCCATTTCCACTGAGGTGGGGAGAACTGTACCCAACAGGATGCGCAGGGCAGAAGGACAACTCATGATTTTGTACTTTTCTTCACCTGCTACAAAGACGGGCTCAAAGCACTGCCCCCCATCACCAACAGCTTTTGCTCATATCACCTACTGGGCACGTGGCAGCACCTAGTGAGAGAACAAGGAGTTGCTTCCATCCATAGGGATATCACCAAGCCGGCAAAACCGCAATACAAATAGTCTGCCCACCTGTAGATGGACCACAGATTTCATTCTTCATCAAACTCAAGTCTCCTAAACCCAACCAGGAAACCCAGTTCAGTCTTTTCTTTCACATCATCTGAAAACCACAGCAGATCAGGTACATAAACCATACCAAGAAGTTCTTCCCATCCAGAAGCATCCTCACCAGCTTCCACAGTGCAACTCAGGATCTCTTTTCTACATAAACCCATCCTTGCTGTTTCCCACACAGGCTTGCAAACAGTTACACGGGTGCACTCTAACAGATGGAGCAACCAGCTGGATGTTGAGTACCACTCTCTCTATGGCTGGACACATACAGAGCTCTATTAAATTTTAAATTTTAATCAGAGAATGTCAAGTTCAAAATTAAACTTCAGCTTCTGATCTTAAGGTTTGGGAAATAAAATACATTATCAGCCATAAATGCCCTTCTGTTTGAAGGAGAGGGAACGTTGCTCCTGCTTTTGGAAAAAGGCACACAGCAAGTCAGCTCCCCTTCAGCCCTCCCAGACATGGGAGTTTAAGGAAGGTTTGAAGCAGTGTATCACAGCATGACCAATTCAATGACTCTTTCAAAATTAAACACAATTAAAAGTAGCACCGTACCCAAGGCTTTTATGCAAAAATCATATCAGTGGCTCAAACCAGTCTTTCTGATGCTTATTGTTTCATGGTAAATACTCAATGTTTCCATGTCATACAAGAGCAGATGAACACCTTATCTGGACTCTCATCCCATGAGAGCACTGAGTGTCCAGGGCCTCTCCCATCTAACAGAAACCTTCAACCTTGCTTTATAAGCAGAGTTACCTTTCTACCCTAGATTTTCTTGATCTGTTTTAGTGCAGAGCATACTGGAATTTTAAGAACTCCTTCTCAAAAGGTAATTTTTATATCTGTGAAAAACTACAGGACCATCTGTAATTGAACGTACCCAAGCAAAGACATTTAAATTGCAATAACCTTCACTTCAGAAGAGGCCATTTTTGGAAGGCCAGGAATAGGAAGGACCTTTCCAGGAGCATGGGGCTGTGGCACTGATTTCTGCCCCAGTTGGGATCCCCAGAGGCTGCTCGCACAGCCAGAATGCAAGGAGGACCTCAAACATTCCTTTCTGTTGCACAGACCCTTTCCACACAGCTTTGCTAAGATCCAGACTGACACAAGAGCATCTTGCTACCATTTGAAAATCTAGCAGAAAAAAAATGTTGTTTTTACAGATTCCGCTCTTCAAAAACAAACAAAAAAAAACCAACCAGACTCAGATTGGCAGAATACACTTGCACTTCTTATTGAATCTTTGCCTCTTTTCTGCCTTAGAAAGGGGCCCAAAATGCAGAGATCTTGATTGAACTATGATGCCTTGCACTTCAGCTGAGGGACTCGGCCTCCTGGTTCAGCCTTCTATCCCTGGGCAGAGCCTGAGCCATTGAGATCCAGCACACAACCAGCCACCAAAGCACAGGGCAGGGTGGGAAAGGAGTACCTGCACCATCTATCCCTGTGCAGAGCCAGCTCATCTAACAGGGCGAGGAAACAAAGGGGAAAGAACTTGTAGAAGTAATAAATACAACTTCCCATCTGGCAGCTGGGCTTTTGTTCATGCCAGTCACCTGCAGCAAGTATTTTTTCCCCCTCTGAAACAACTCTGCTATATTAGCTATAAAATGTCCAAACATATTGCTTTTGTATATCTGTGCAAAAGGAGAACCTGGGGTAAGACACTGGGAGATGTCTGCCTGCTGCGTTCCCCTTGGGGCAGCCATTGCTCAGCTTACCACAAGTCAAACCCCAATGGGATAAGCAGGTAGCAGCAGGCACAGACTGCAGTCACTGCACAGACACACGTAGCTTTTATTGAGAAAACCATCACATCTCGCCATGCAACATCATATTTGCTAGTTAAGATCAGGAAATCCAGCTGAAACAAACTCAGAAATCCCATCCTGAGTCCTTTCAGTTCATTTTGTTTAGGATTTCACAAAAGGACAACGCACATGTCCATCCAATGGGTCCAATGCCCCAACAACAACTAACAGGCTGTGAAACAACCAGAGCATGGTCTGTCCTTTCCTTCAACCTCCAAATACACTCCTTATATCCCCAAAATCCTGAAAACAATCCAGGAAAGAGACCAAGCTGCTATGCCTTCTATCCCCCACAGCATTAAATAAGCAAACAGACTGACTTCCATCACTCCATGCCTTGGCAGTTCTGTTCTCCTACCTGGTAGGTCAGCAGTAGTCCTGAGCACTGAGCCTGGGCCTGTGCCCAGCAGCGCGCACCCGCCGGCCGTCCTATTCATCTCTGTCTGGCAGGACATCTCCCAGTGGTTTGTGTTCATTTGTCCGTAGACTCTGAGAACGTGGAAAGCCTGAAAGAGAGATCAGGAAAGGTTAATTGGTTTCGTTGACCATCTGTTTGTGCTGTGAATAAACGCTGCGAATAACGCGTAACAAATGGCACCTACAAGGATTAAATAAATCAATTCTGGGGATTAGAAACAACCTATGGACCGCGCTAATGGAGCAGAAGGCTGCGCAACAAAAATCAGCATTGCTGAGCTGTGAAGTCTGTGACCTTTAGGGGACAGAAAACCCAGGTTTTCTAGGAAGCCTGAGGTGAAACAGGAAAATAAAACAGAGACGGTCAAGTAAAACCTGAGCAAATGCTTAGAGGAGTGCAAATGGAGGACAGACTGGTCCCACCTGATGGCACAAAGCAGTTATAATCCTGCAATCTCTTTGGGTTTTCTATACTCCTTTCATCCCACCCTTTACAGAAGCAATATGAAGAACTCCTGTGCAAGTAAAGTAAATATTTCTAGATTTAAATACTATTACTTTCCTTCCTTTCTCATCCTTCCCAGAAGAGCTCGAGGAACCTCACTGCATGGACTCCTTCCTGCTCAGGGATGTACAGGTCCCCAGAAGCACTGAGTCACTGCACCATGATGGGGAGCAGGAGAGCTCTGGATGCTCCCCTCGGAATTTCATTTTCAAAATCACAAACGTCACTCAAAATAAATATTATTTATATACAAATAAGAGATTTTAAACATTACCTTAGCCTAAAATTGTTACAGGATTCCAAAAAGCATCATCATCATCTCAAAAAGTTTTGGTAAGCCATCCAAAAGAAAGCTGTGTCTATCAGTGCATACATGCAGACAAGAACTGCAAGTTGCAGAACAGTTCCCCACCCAAAATGAGCCAAACATGGTAACAAGTAATGCTGGTGGCTTTGGTAGAGCTGCAGGACACTGCAGACTGGGTTTCATCACCAGGAAGGATGGAAGAGCCTTTGAAAGACATCATCCATGGAGGATCCCAGCAAGATGTACTGGTACGTTCTCAGACTATTGATTCAATTCAGCAAGTTTTGTTTCAAAAATCAGTTGCTTTGCTCAATATTTTCATAGAGAATTCCAGACCAGTACTTGGAAACGCTAGCATGAAAAAAGATGAATTCACTTTGCAAGTTTTAGTGACATGCTTAGATCTCTGATATGATTATTAGGAACCATTAGTGTAGAAAAAAATTACAAACACAGCGAACACATTTTGAACATGGCCAATGATTACTGATTAATGATCACTTTATGAGATGTGACAGTAGTTAATGTAGTGTGCCCAGCTCAAGTATTGACTCAAGATGTTGCAATTCCACAGCAAACAAAAGGACAGCTAAACGGAGGTTTCTGGGCACCACATTTTTGCACACAGAAGCTTTGCTTGCAGGGTATCCTCCACAGCCTGGAGCATCCATCAGGGACCAGCAGCCCATGGGAAGCTTTGCTCTGCCAGGCCACCTCCATCATTTTACACTCTGTTTCCTACCCAAACCCACGTGAAAAAAAGCCCACACATGTAAAAGCTTCCAAGTGCCCAGCATGCATAACTGAGAGTCCCTATTTCTAAGGAGCACTGACCTGGACTTCTTTCCCTGCTTGGAGCTCACACTTCAGCAACCTTTAGCATGAGCACACCACCTCTTCCTGCAGTTCTAGAGATCCATCACATCCCATCTGAACACAGAAACTGATGTTCCCAAGCATCTGAATGCCAAGATGCCAAGATTTACTTATTCCTTGTACACAACCACGCCAGAATTATTGATCCCAGGAGTGGCTGTAACCTTTGGAAACTACTTCTCAGTTGTGCTCAAAGTGAGTGAATGGAATCTCAGAGAATAACATGCTTCACAAGTCCAGTATGAATAGAGAGTTCATTTTCAAAGTGTATATAACAACTCATTACCTCCTAAGGAACGGCAGATACCATCCTGCCCCAGCCCTGCCAGGGAACCAATGGCACCTTTACCTTCACAAAACAGAGCCTGACCCGTTCTGATGTTTCAGGAGTTCCTTGGATCATCTCACCGAAGATCAGGTTCTCACTTTTAACAACACAAGAATAGAAGAAACATCTTAAACCCTGGGAGTTGAATTAGACAGCTGCACAGCGTACACTGCAAGCACTGTAGTTGTGCATGACAGCATGCAGAGCCTGCTTAGAACTCACTGTCAGTGCAGATCCATACAGCTGCTAGAAGGTGAAATACAACTACATAACTGAAGGTGATGGGGTGTTTTTTATTTTTAGGAGTGAATTGAAAGAAATAAGCTCTGATAGAAAACACTGTATCTGAGATCCCTGTAAGAGAGATGCCATGGGGCTTATTACTTACTCCTGTTAAGAACAGAATAACTCATGAATATCACATTCAATTACCCCATTTCAGGCAGGCTGTAACTTGGAAATGAAGATCATGTCTGATTATCCCATTTCAGGTAAACTGTTGGTGTGAATTATCAGAGGGCTCTAATCTTTTTGCACTTATCTGGAGCACTTAATTGCCTGATGTTAACTGTACTAATGCATGACCAGACCTTGCATCTGCCTGAGTCTGCACTCAGTTAACTCCTTAATTGTCACCACGTTCACTCCTCTCTCCCTGCTTCTGCAGCTGCACATTAATTCTTGCCAAAACACAGAAATTATTCAGTAGCATCTTCAGATAGTCTGCCAGCCTTAATATTTGCACCAGATGACACACCTTGGGACTAATAGAGCAAAATCTCCAGAGGTCCCCTATATAGTACATTCCCTATCTGGCTTAGTCTCATTCACTCACTCATTTAAACAGTTGTGCCCTCCCCAAACTGGTTCTGTTGATACTTGGCAGGAAAACATATGGCCATCTCTTAAAGTAAGGTCTTTCTATTAGTCTGGATATTTATACACTGAGTGTTTCAATAATCATCACACTTGCATGCACCTTACCCAGGATCACAGGGTATCCCAAGTTGGAAGGAACCCATAAGGATCATCGAATCCAACTGCTGATCCACAGCATTATCCTGCACAAGCTTGCCATCATCCACCTCCTCACCACATCCAGATCACCCATGAAGCAGTAAAACTTGCTTCTTCTATCCTCATCCTCCACCGAAGGGCTTGGAACACTGCATATGTACAGGAGCAACAGAAATAAAGAATCCCAAGTCCTCCATATGCTAATGGCAATTAAAAAGCTTCTTTCCATTTATGCACCTCAGTTGTCTCCAGGAGGAATTATTCCACACACTCTTTTCACAAACTCTGTTTTCCCCTCTCTTAGCAGTTTCACAGCTCCTCTGTGCTTCATCCCAAAACTCAGCTCAGGCACCCGGTGGTGATGCTGAGCCCACTGTCCTCATACAGCATCTGATGGGGCCTTGGGCACCCGCAGAGGGGCAGGGGGAACAAGGGAGATTACAGATGGATAACACTGGTTGTCAGTGCTCCAAAAGTGACCAAACTTCTCTCAAGCAATCCCTCCAGGCTCAACCTCGCCCAGGTCTCCTGGAGCTGCTTCTCAGTGCAGTGCTCTCAGGATAACATTGAGGAAGCTAAGGGAGCAGTATTTGCTTAAACCCAAAGTAATTTCCTGTAATGAAACTTCAGCCTGTGTAGAACAGAGATTTAAATATTCTGCCTACAGATCACATACTGCAACAAAAACACATTTATCTTGCGTAATGGAATTGTGGATTGTTTTGTTTGTTTTTGCTTTTTGTTTTTTTAAACCTATATCTATCTACCACCAAGCAGTGATTTCATACATCCTTTCCACATGTGTCAGAAACTGTGAGAGGATGGCCATTTTTTTTCTATCCTGTGTATTATTAAACATAATAGTCAGCCACCTCTAGAACCCATCATTGATTGAGATAGATGAAGCTATTTAAAAAAAGAAAAAAAAAATCTAATGAAGTCTCTTTGGTGCCTCTGAAACTCGGCAGCAAAGATAAATGAGAAACAATTTCTTGATATCCATTATTTTAAATTACAGATATCAGCCCTGATGCTGTTCTCAAGGTTTATTGAGTTTTCATAGAATACCATCAACTTCTACATTCCGCTCATTTAATTGAAACCTGCGACCCAAGTGTTTTCCTCTTGTGTCAGGTTTAAGCCACGGGGCGATGCCTCTGCTGAACATGGGCCACAGCACTGACTCCACCACCTCCCTGGGCAAGCATTCTTTCTGCTCTTATAGCCTAGAGATAATAGCAGACCATAGACTTCTCTCCTCAGCCCCAAGACACACGCATCTAAGCAAAGCCAAAAGACTTCTTTCCAGCTGGCCAGGCTTTGCCTGTCATTGAACACATCCCAGTCGCTGACATCATGCTTGCTAGCACAGGAAAATAAGGAGACAGGGACTGAAAAGCATGCCCAGAGCAAGTCCATCTGCCAAGATGCAGGGAAGGCTTCCTGCCCCCTCCTCAGGGGCACCAGAAATGTAAAGCAATAGGCTGCCATCAGGCAAATTAGACATGGAATTCAATATGCAGTGCAAAAAAGAGATCCTAATTGGATACACTCATGTCCCACTGAGCCATTTCAGATCCCTTTCCTTACAGCTGCCAAGATGTTGAAGATGAGGGTCGCTGCCTCACACGTTCCAGGGCCTGTGGTGGCAGGACATAGATGTAGTGGTTAAATCCTTCACATCTCATTGCTTTACCCTTGCACTTCACTCTCCCATGATTTCTCTTTCTGCTACCCAAAGTCCAGGAATGCCTTTGTTTTTCTTCTCCTTTGTATTGCAGAGGCAGAGCACGACCTGCAAATATCTCAGCATTTGGGGAAAGCTAATGGCACAGCAGGAGGATGTTGTTGCATTTGGCTCTTACAGTTTCAATATGTTTTATTACATTGGTGCGAGGCAGCAGAGGTGTTAGTGGGTAATTTAAATTTAATCATTTATTTGGACACTTTTAATGTTAACTAGAATGCCATAAATGCTGCAGTTGAGAAGTGGTTTGTTGTGCACTGCCATAAATCCATGTTACAGAAAGTATTCTTCTTTAGTCCACTTTGATTTATCTTTGAGTGAGAGCTACCCAGGATTGTGTAACACAGCATGATACTGCTTACACTCAATGCAGTGTTTCATCTATAAACTGGAAGAGGATCCGAAACTCATTATAATAATCTTTTTAAATGGTGACTTTAAACTTCACAGCAATTTACAGGAATTTGAGTACTAAGAACTTAATCAGGGCAAGGCAATGGTTCAGGACTCTGCTGTAAGGAATCTCTTAGATCTAAAACTCTTCAGTATGGCAGAAAATAAAAAGGCACATTAAAAGCATCCCATCCCATAATATTGTCTGTATTCTATTAAGTCTGCCTGAAATTCTTAAAGTGACAGCCACAGTGGCCTTACTGTTTCCTATGTCAATCCTTGCACTGGTAGCTGGGTATCCTGACAGAATCTGCTTGCGTAACCTTCACAAAGCTCACCTCATTTATGGAGTTAAACACTCGGTAGACTTCTACAGTTCCTGTAGTTCTAAGTGCCCTGGAAATGGCATGCTATGAACTGCTGACAGCTGTTTAATCTGCCTTCTAATTGCACAGACCTCTTACAGAACTCAAAGGAGATAAAGCAAAGCAGCACCTCCCAGAGCAATTTCTATCATCTTCTGTTGTTTCCAGGGACTCCACTGCATGCAGACCTGGCACCAGGAGTGCTGGGTACATGCTGTCATGTCTGCATTGACTTCCAGCGTCACAGGTAGGATAGAAATCCAATATTAGCTCACCAAGCCCATGTATACACAAGGATTTGGAGCAAGGGCTGTAACAGCGGAGTCTATTTTAGGGCAGAACAAGAGATTAGAGCAATATTGACTCCTTGTATTCAGGCATTTACCCAAGCTCTACCTTGAGAAGGAACTTTGCCACAGAATTCTAGAATAATCCTACCCTGTGGCTGCTCCTTAGCAAGTCTTTGTGTGGCCATTCACCCCACAATGAGCACACAGCCCTGTCCCTTTGTGCAAGATTTTTCTCCAGTAACTTAATCCCAAAGCAAACTGATGGACCTTGAGAAGGTAGCACATGTATGGTATATGTATACACAGTACTGAGTGCTTCATCAGGTATATTAAAG